CACTCGTTGAATACATCCTACGCAATTTAAAACCGATTTATTTATTTTCGTAAATGTCACAGTTTTAAATTAATATTCCTCGCCTGCGGAATTCTTCATTACAACATAATATAAAATCAGCGGACGATTTCCAGCTGTAAAAATGCAGTTTGTATTTCTTCTAATTTGTTTATTGGATACAATGTGGTCTACAAGCGAATAATGTAACATTACTAAACACGGCTCGCTGACAGGACGACAAAATCGTTACGTTTCTTCATCTTAACAAGTCAGGTCTTTAAGTTGTTAATACTACAATAAAAAGAAGTTCTTGTTAAAACTACTGAACATTGGTACGTGTCGAAGCCAGGAGGCCACTAATTGGGTTGACTTTCAGCTTCGCTTTCCACTAGATTTGTCCATAAATCCGTTGCAGGGGAAATGTTTGGCGACATTCCAAAACGTACTCTATTTTCTTGCCCTATTTTTATACTGGACCGAAATTATAGAGCAACTTCATGGGTTTTAAAGAAAGGAGCACATATGCAGGCACATACAAGCAAAGTGCGGAAAGTGTTTTTATAAACTATAATATTAATATGATATCAACCTTACGCATTCATAACTTCAAATTAGGTTAGCGCTTAAGCCAACATTGTCGTAATATTCACTATTCATTTAATAAACAACAGCGATTGGCTAAGTAGAGAACGTTACAACAAAATGTTTCAAAGGGAAAAAAATTGGTGTCCAGTCGAGGTGATTTGGTGTTGAGGACGTCCGATTTTTAATTCAACGGGAATGCTATCTCGCAAAGGGTTACATATCCTTTCAAATCAAATCGATTTCTATTATGGCGTATACCCGAAATTGGAACAAAGGCATTTATGCCTTTCACATTTTAAGTATCTATTCCCTCTCAGTTATTGCTAATTATATAAGTTTGAAGTAATAATTAAATGTTTTCTAACCGATTTAAAAAACCGAACATACAATTCGACGTCTTGTAAATAATCTAAAACTCTCGTCAAATCGTTTATTAGGTGATGGTTTATCGCACCATTATAATGATTTGGTTGGATGTTTTTAGACTCGAATACAATATTTCTAGTTCCAGCGATGTATACAATAACCTATAAAAAACTTGAAACATTTTAAAGTCTAACTTTATCCAAAATAGATCATTAATTAAACCTTGACACTCATACGTGTAAGGAGTTAGTTGTACATGTATGTACGATAAGTTGAGCATCTTGTAATAAAAAATAACTAAAGTTACAATACAATTTTGTAATGGTTTTATTAATAAATCTTTACGTATCTTAAAATCAGATATTGAAGAACGTTGAACAAATATATATTATATGCTATGTGAGCAATTTTTGTATTGACTAAAGCAAAGGTCGGGCGCATTCAATATTAAATGACTTCTTGAAACCTCAAACACTACTTAAATATTCATATGAGACCTTAAGCCCCTGACTGGAGCTTACCTAACTGCCAGCTAATGGTTTCCTACATTAAATTGTAATAATGGTGTACTATATTTTGAAACTTCAAATATATTGCCCTATTTGTTAATCACCAACAATACAAGCAAATATTATCAAACACCCACTGACTTCGATTTAAATATCAATTACCATTTATAGGAAACTAATGAAATAATGTTTATCGTTGTATCACAGTTTAATAATAATACTGTAGTAGCTAATATATATTTTTTAATTATTACTTTGTAGGTTAAGAAAATTGAAAATACTCGTGTTAATATTTTCAGCTATTGATAAACCACAAGGGATACTATATACTACACTATATAAATATGACTTTTTCATGTTTATTAGCAATAAAAACTATTAAGCAAACCTAGTGTTCTTTTTAAAACGCGTATAAAAGTTAAAGTTTGTGGCATTCGATATGTATCGAGTATGGATATATATAAAGTATCTACTTTAATAAGAAATACAGATTGTGTACATAGTTTGTGTAGTAGATGAACGTTAACAAAACTTTATTCATTCATAAGATTATCATTTCATGTAAGTTTCCTTAGATGTACTTTCCTCCTTTCAAAGAGTAAAGCGTGTCAGAATGTTCCTGATTCACAAAGAGGCAAGTTCCTTTTGATGAACATTTCATTCGTCACTGCTACTGTTGTGTGTGCTTTTTTAAGACTTTTTTGTATCACATTGATAAAACGAAGCGAAAAATAAAAGCACGATAGGATGACAAAAGACATACATTAAGTAATTTAACAGTGATACACTTTGTTTTTCCTCTTAGGCTTTTCTTTTTCCAGTCGTTAAACACAATTCATTTGACGTCAGCCAAGTTACTTTTAAAACAATATTTCTATTATGAACACGCTCTTATAAAACAATAATGGCTTTTCAGTGTAATTTAATACGATACTTTATCGTAAGACATTGTGATAAAAATGTAAGCGACAAAAAATAACTCTTCGCAGATGGTTCGAAGTGTTTTCATTAGTAATGATTATTCAAAACCGATTTATCAAATTAATTCCACTGCTCGAGTTTAGCTTTGAGCGCTGCAATTTTCTTGAGCTAGCTTTACCTACAGAGCGAAATCAGTTTTCTCAGAATTAAGAAGATAAACTATTTTCTAAAATTGAGTATTTAAAGATACCGTATAAATTTTAATACCGTATACATGATTTTTTAAATACCGTATACAGAAATAAATTAATGTTGTTCACCTCAAAATAAAACTTTATTTATTAAACATTATTTTTTTCAATAAATTGTGAATTTAATTTAAAAACCCCTATCATAGTATTGTCTTTGATTTACATAACCTTTACACATTTAAAGAAAAAACTGTTTGACCGGATTGAAGAAGAAGATTCAGCAATTCCTAAGACCAATCAAAAGTAACACCCCATTGCAAGATGCAGGTATATACAAACTGGATTGCGACTGTGGCCAGTCTTACATAGGGCAAACTAAACGCAATATGTCCAGCAGACTCAAAGAACACATTGCAGACATAAGACATAGACGACACACAAAATCAGCAGTCTGTGAACACATACTAGATAGGCCTAATCACTACATACGCTTTGACCAACCGAAAATACTTGCGAAAGAAAAGATTCTTCCCAAGATTGGTACGCGAAGCCATTGAAATCAAAAAACACCCCAATTTCAATAGAGAAGACGGCCTAAAATTGTCAAACACCTGGGATCCAATAATATCCAAATTAAAATCTCAAGAAAAACAATCCGCGAAAATAGAGGACACAGTGAGCCATTTTTGCCAAAACCCTCCATCTTTTAGTCGATACCAACTCCGGGGTAATAAATACAGATAAGGCAACTTTCTCTACAGCTGTGATACTTTTTGACATCCAACATCTTTTGTATTCAGTCACCGTGACCACGCACGCTGTAAAGCACGCGAAACGTCGGATAAATTTAAAATTATGTTAAATAGTTGTAAATTTATAATAATACATAACTTCAATCCGGTCAAACAGTTTTTTCTTTAAACCCCTATCATATAAACTGATGTAAATCATGTAGTTAAAGATTCCTGATAACTTCTTTAAAGCATTTAACATTTCACCTTAACCCAAGTTTAGTTGAACTTCAGATCAGATTCAATTTTAAAACTTTTAAGCGAATACTAATTCGGAACTTTGCGAGCGATAGCGATGAGAGGAAAATGTGTAACTTTTGGAATGATTTTAAGTAGGCGAAATTAATCAAAAGAAGAAAATTCAAAATGCTTCATTCTTTGAATATTATACAATATGTTGTGTAAGCTCTCATTTATGCCTAAAAAGCGAAAAATATTACAAAACCAAATTTTCAGTGAAATAAAGCTATTCAATTGTCGATGCATTTTTATTTTTAAAATTTACTGTGTAACATAAAAAGATTCTGATAATAATTGCAAAAAATTAAATATCACCTCGTAATAAATATTAAATTAATAGTGATGTTCAATTTTTTTTCCAGCCTTGTTTACGCTCATAATAAAGATTTTGATAAATAATATTATTAGACTTGTCAAGTCATGGTCACGATATTACATTGTAAACATTATACTCAATATGTGTGTTTATGCAATTAAAATATTGTCTACTAAACGGATTTGAAAGCTTTACCGAGTCAAGGCGAGAAACCTATCAAGTGGCGACAAACACTCGGTTTATTTTCAGTTTTCCCTCATATTGAACAAAGATTATAAAACAAATTAAACGGTAACGGTAATTAAAGGCAGCTGCGCAAAAGATTTTATAAAAATATTGTATAATTTACGTACAATTTGGCAATACTGTGATTTCTGAGAAAAAATATTGAACATGAATAATATCTTTGAAGTCTCGTAACCAAGATCATCTTTTCATACGCCATGTGCTTTATGTAAGGAAACATTTTGGTACGATAAGCAAAAAAATCTTATAAGATAAACTTAAAAAAACTTTTTTTCTGAGACAAAACGTTAATATAATTTATCCACAGAAGCTGAAATGTATAAATAAGTCCAAAGTTACGTTGTTATTAAATCGTAATCCTCTTTCCTCGGTTTAAAGGTTTTTCAAAGACTTTGGTAACATAAATCTCTAGATCTTTATTAAAAATTTAATCAACATTTAAAATAAAAAGTTACTGGTCAATTAGTGGTTAAAATAATTATATATAGTAGATTGTATAATATAAAATAATATTGTATATAATACCGGATGTATTCGGTCATTTATACAACTAATTCAAATTGCTAGTACTTGATGATGATTATCTTTTAATCTTTTTATAGATTAAAATTGTAGTTTTTGAAATTATATTGTACTGTTTATACATTATATCTACGCCTTATATTTAAATACACAATGTTCTCTCAGTTACCCCTAATATACAAAAGTACCGGAGCCTCAAATATTTTCAAATATTTTGTCCTGATCTGTAGTGAATAATAAATATACAAGACAAAATATTCACTCATATTTCAGGCTGTGTACGTTTATTAACGACCAAATATTTGCAAATTACCTTTTTTTCCCGGCGAGGTACAGTTGCTTTTATTAGAAGGTGATTTTGTTTCAGACGCAGCCATTTTCTCTTTTTCGGACGACATGCTCACACGCTTTTACCGAAACTAAGCGACTGCTACCATTACTACAACATGTATTGAGGTTCACCAATTGCTCCCATGATGTTAATAAATGTTTTAGTTATGTATGGAAATACGGTCCAAATAATATACCTCAAATATAGAAATGAGACAGAGACATTAAATAAGGCATGTAAAAAAATATTCAGACTTAGGTTTTTCAAATACCTTCACGTTTTGTACTAAACATAATTGTCTTCATTTAAATCAAAATACCTAATCTGTTGCCTCAGAAAGATTTGTTTGAATTTTTAAAGAATTATTTCTTTAGAATTAATTCTTATTAATAATTATTTTTTATTCTGAGTAAAGCAAATTGTAGTTCAGTTCTTGTTATGTTTTATAATAAAACTGTAACGTACATGCATGTTAAGCAAACAATGGGATTATCACGAGTGCCGGACAGTAGCGCTATTTACAGATCATATAAAAGAACAAAAGACTTCAATTAATATTTGTTTTAATGAAAAAATAATCACTTTGTTCTGAACTTTAAACTACTATAATGTTTTTATAGTTAAAGTAATAAGAAAATATAAAGAAGATGTAAGGTTAGTAATAAAATTATGATTTATAAAGTGCTTAATATGATTAAATAAGTGATGTATAGTAGTTTGGTGAATTGAATTTTAGGGTATATGAATAAATTAAACAATGATAGAAATCGATGATTTAATGAGTGATATAAAACAATAAGATGAATAATGCCACGAATTTATATAAACCTTCTAAAATGAAAGGTTGAAAAAACATTGAAACATTTCTGCAGATAAAAAACTTGGCATCAGCATAAAAGGCACCCTGAAAATTTGATAAAACACCTGGTTGCTTTAAATAAAGACGACCGTAAGAGAAATTAAGGCCGAGTTAGTTTTCTTTTCGTTTTTGAAACCGCGCGAAAGCATGCTAATGGGTAAGGGGTAAGCCGTCCAGATGATATGAGATCTTTGAATAATGAAAGTGCTCATGCAATGAAAACTGAAAGTTCGATGTCATTGAAACCTGTAAGTTACGTAAGCGCGGTAACCTGCAACCTGGGAGCGATTGGGAAGCTTCCTGCGGGGGAGCGCGTGGGGCGTCGCGTCGCGCGTGCCGTGCGCGTCGAGGGCGCGTTCGTGCTCGCTCGTGTCGCGTAACACGGGAGGAATCGATGCGGGCAGCGGGCGGCAGCGGAGTGCTGCACCGGGAGGCTGCGCGGCCCCCCACATCCCGAGACCCGGGCCCCGCGCATGCGCACACAGCTCCCGGCCTGTCGCGCCGCCCGCGAGACGCCGTACTACAGTCTACAACCCTAAATATATATAAACCTATTTATATCCTTTTTGGAACTAAGAACTTAAACAGGCTGGCTGAAAACTGCATTGTTCTAAATATGTACGGTGTTTACTTATATATATATATTTTTTATTAGGTTAATTTTACAAATTTGTAAATACATTATGATAGGACTAGTGTTTTTACTAATATTGGTATTTAATTGTTTCACTTAAACTTTTTATTTATTCTCATGGTCACAAACTCAGACGTAATTTGAAACATCTTACCGAAAAGAATAGTCTTGCAACGTAACTTACTTTTTCCAACATAATAAATAAATAAATACGTGATGTTCTCTGTGGATAACATTTCAATTCCCGGCACGCTGATTTGCGATACTACAGCTTTTTTATACGATATTCTTTAGCTGCATTAATAGACTGCGATATTGTACTATCGAACCTACATATATTGCTATAGCATTATTATAGATCCTTCTTTAGGTTTGATTCGCGTCATTATCATTAAGTTTTGACCTATTATTAGATAGTTGTACTCACACCGTCATCGAATTTACTCGTGCCAATGACGATGAAATTTATGATGATATTTTGCAAGCTATAGCTATATAGCTTTTTGCCTTACGTGCCAAAGTTATAAATTTGTATTATGAATATCAGTAAAACATTTGAAATATGTATCTATAGGATAAAAACATGACATAAACTATAAAGTAGGTGTTATTTTCTATGACGTAATGTATAAACTTTTATACATACATTACGTCATAGGAAATAAACTTTCACGGTACTTGACTTTGGATATTACTAATTTTAATGTTATTTTATTTTATTTATACATGAGCATTTATATTATCAGCACCAAATTAAGGTTTAAATTTAAAATATAATTAAAATACAAGACGATTAAAACCAAAAATTATTACATTAAGGAAGACATCTTTAACAATAGAACGGTTTGTAGCGAACATAATGTAAAGTAATAATTTTGCCAGCAGCGGTCTATCTTGATGTCCCTTCTTGAATAATTATCTGGAAGCCTATCATGAGTTTGTTTAACGATAGTACAAGGCTGTAACTTCACTTCTGTGAAGATAGCTAAGCTAGCATATTATACTTATTACTTTTGGTATACACTAAACCTTCACGTATTCTTTGATTCTAGAAGGATATGTATTACTTTAAAATATCCAAATTTCGCAAATTAATTTAAGATTGAATTATGTTTTGGCAATATTTAAAAAGGAAGTTTATTATAATAAGATTTTTATACTATATAAAACTGATGAAACGTGATAAACGTTTCATTCATTCTTTCACTCATCATCTATTAATTCGGGTTAGGCGGATGTTTTTGTATAGAGACTTAAAAATCGAGTAGAGGTTCAATCTAATAATCCATAGTCTCAAGTTTCGAAAACATTTCCAACGGTGATACGTAGCGAGGTCGGTAGGCGGTTTTGTGTCAAGAACTGGTGGCAATTTGGTGATGTGGAAGTTTTAGTCCAAAGAACTCAAAAACGAGATGGCCGCCATACTTGGCTAATATGAACGTGCAGATCATCAGCGGTACCGGAAATTGGTCTCCGGGTCTCCAAGTTCCATACCACAAAAATTCAACGGCCCACGATGAGAGGCGGTAGTTATGCATTCCATTTTTGAAGTTTGACATAGTAATCAACGTTATGCTAAAAAAATGTGAGTGTGGTTTTCAATATCAGGCTTCCTTGAAGACGCCAACGGCTTAGCTAAACCGTAAGCGATCAAAATGGGGCGTTTCAACAAAAGTCGTAGAATACATTGAGCAATTAATAAGCGTAGTGTAAAAAAAATAAAATAACTGAAAAAGATGGCCGCCGTACAAGTTCAAGTTTGGTGTCTTATTTTTGTGACCATAAATCGTAATGGTAAAATTCATTTTTTAAGATCTTATTATCTTTAAAAAACAAATAAGTCTGGATCACAAAACTATAGCTACATATATTAGGATTTTTTTATCATACCTACATACCTAGGTGAATACAGCGGAAATTGATTGGAAGTAATATCTTCCTATAAATAAACTGTAAAATTTTAACGCGTTGAGGATGTAACTTAGTCGATATCGTGCTTTGGTTTATATCAGAATATTGACAATACAGTTGTGAATTTGCATCTATAATTTGTCACTGTGGTTGGGAAATGCCTGAAATTCAGGTGATGTTAAAAAGCGTGTTTGCCACAATATTCATATTATTAATTTATGTTATTACTAAACGTTACGTCAAAAGAAAAGTTGATTTTTAAATATTCAATTGATTGAAGGTTTTTTTATATTAAATTTTAAATATTATGTATATTAATACAGATCGGACGAAAGAGAGCTCTTTATGGGTTAGGTTTCTGATGTTCGTTAATTCATCTTATTTCTTTTTTATAACAAGTATTGAAGAGCTTATATCCAGTGAGCATATTATATACTCGTACATACATTCTCATAAAATTATAATAACGGTTACTCACATAATGTTTTAAATATACTGTTTTATTTAGTTATGTTAGATATAACTGGGAAACAGATTTAAGGAAAAAGATAAACTAAAAAAGAAAATGATACCTTAGCTCGCGCAACTAAAAGCATTTGCATTATGTGGTAATTTCAAGTTTCTTGTTTGGTTGCGAAAATAAAAATGTATTATGTACAAAGCTCAATGACGGCGTGTTAGATATATCAAATCTTATCTGCAGCTAAAATAAATTTACGTGAAAGTTTATATAAATACTAATACCTATACTAGGCGGAGAGGTTTCGATTTCCATGAATATAATATAAAGATTTTAACCTAAATACTCAATAGCAAAGAAACAAAAAGGTCCCGTTTTGTCTCATTTGCTTCAATGTTGAATTAAACAACGTAAGCCAATGCATTAAAAACAACAGGTCCAAGCAGGTTGATAGAGGTGAACGAATAGGAGAGCAGAGTTCGCGGCCATTGAAAGGCTTAGTCCAGGACAGGTTCTTTTAGGAGCTTTTAATATGTTTGTTTCATTTGTGTTAGGTGCTAAATATTTAAAAAACAGTATAATATTTTTAGTTACATTTGTATTTAAATATATTATATAACTTGTTTGTAGTTGATAGGTATTTACATTTTACAGTAGATAAACGACACAGAATCAGAATTGTACCAAAAGCAGTTATCAACTTTTTCAAGAGCTCTTCAGATATAGTATACGTATAGATATCGGGTTACTCAAAGTAGAGCTATTGAAGATAAAATGAAGGCGTCTGCTATTATTTGCATTGGTATCAGGGGAAATTATGGAGACAGGGCTGGATGGAATAATTTTTTTCGCTCTATGTAATTTTATTACTATTTATGACTGTGAGTTCCATAGTGTATCATTTACAAAATTAATTAAACTATAAAAAATACTAGAAGTATATATAGTACAACAGGGGTCTGCCAATCAATCATAATTGATTTCATACTTTCGTTAAGTAATTATAAAAATATGTAATGATAATGTCCTGACTTTAGTTATTAGTAGTTACTTAAAATAAAAGTAATAAATGTTTTGAATAATATTGGAGTCATACAACTAAGTATAAGTTTTTATAGCAAATATGATGTGTACGTGCTGCGACTATGGAATGTAAGCAATAACGCTACGCTTCCGTAGCACCTCTACGATAGTATGTATCCAGCCAGTACCAGCTGTGGGTACTTAGTTGGGTCTATTTGTTGTGTAAAACCACAAATAATTATTAATTTTTTACAAATTCATATTCCAATTCTACAACTTTTACAATATTTGATAATAAAACAAATTTTTACCGGATTGAAGTTATGTATTTACAATTATTTTTCATAATTTCTACAGCTGTGATACTTTTTGACATTCAACACCTTTTGTCTTCAGTCACCGTGACCACGCACGCTGTAAAGCACGCGAAACGTCGGTTAAATTTAAAATCATGAAAAATAATTGTAAATACATAACTTCAATCCGGTAAAAAAAGTTTTATTATTAAATGAGTGAAAGTTATGTCAATAAAAGACAATACTAACTTTTACAATATTACTATGACCTAGTCAAGCATATTGTAAAATGCAACGATAGACTGCCAGAGTTGATAAAACTTGAAAGAAACCGTAGAAGTTAAGTAAGTTAAACGTAAAGTTAAATAACTTAAAAACTCTATTTATATTTCAACTAACAAGTAATACTTGGTAACATTAATGAAATGCTTCTTGTACTAACAAAAGTATAAAGTACGTTATAAGCAAATACAGCATGCATAATTTAAATAATTATAACTAAAATAAGAAATAGATAAATCTATACTTGCGGTAAATAACAATTGGCCGAAATTAGACGTAATGGTTGGAAGACTTAAGCGACTAGTGTGGGTTCTGTATGAGAATAATAGAATTTTCAATCAACTTTGTTCCATAAAATATGGAATGTAATTGAAATTAAATTAAAGTATTATACGACTAAAGAATTTTATTATTGTAAGCAGAAGAAAAGCTTTTACTTTATCTAATGGGTTCACTTTGACAAACAATTACTTGTTTCTGTAACTTTGCAGACTTTGCATTGTTTATTTTTCATGCTTATGAAACAATAAATAATAATGAAAACGTAAATATTTTTTCAACGTTCACTTATTTTATCTTATACACCATTCATCTATGTAACTTGGATCAATATTGGGCTCATTGATCTCCAGCATCAGTTAGATTAGAATTATTTTTAACTTTTAAGTATCCATGTCGCAAAAAAGCCCTTGACGAGGGGAGTGAAATTTGAAGGTTCATCTTGACCCACCCGATAAAGTTAACGAGAAGAAATATTCACGCCAGATTTTGTTCAACACATCATTATTTTCATTGAAATTAGTATGTTTTTTTTTTATAGAACGGGGGGCAAACGGGCAGGAGGCTCACCTGATATTAAGTGATACCGCCGCCCATGGACACTCTCAATGCCAGAGGGCTGGCGGCCGCCGGCCTTTTAAGAATTGGTACGCTCTTTTCTTGAAGGACCCTAAGTCGAATTGGTTCGGAAATACTTCAGTGGGCAGCTGGTTCCACATAGTGGTGAAAAAACTGCCTTAAAAAACGCTTAGTTGTGGAACGGTGGACGTCGAGGTGATACGGGTGGAATTTCGTATTCTGCCTCGACGTCCGATGATGAAACGTTTTATTTCGCTAAGTTAAGGTTTTCAGACATCGATTATTACAAGTCGAATTTTGGATAATCGTAAAAATACGTTAAACAAAAATAATTTGTGTTTCTTCGGTTATATAGCATATTTGTTG